TTTTTAATTTGAGTTGAGATGTAATTTTATGTGAAAATTTTTTATTATAGTAACAAAATTAGATGTTATTATTTTTATAAGAATATTTTACTAATATAAAACTTAAATTTTAAATTTAAATCGGTGAAATAACACTTTAAACTCTTATTAAGTGTCTTAACATACGTAAGTATCATGCCTATATATGAAAAAGTCTCTAAGTTGTCGGAACTGTTATGAAATGAAAAATAAATAAATATTAAAGTAGTAACGATGCTATTTCTGATTTCTTTAAAAAATAGAATAAAAAAATCAACAACAACAACATTGGATCTTGCGGTAAACGTTCTTAGATGCCAAAGAAATTCTTAGTGACCACTGGATGTATAGGTCAGAAATTTTAAATGCATCCAGACAAACATTATGACCAGAATTATAAATAATAATAACAATTTTAAATATAAAAGCATGATTAGCATCTTGGATTTGTGGGCAAATTTGTCATTTTAGTTTTGAGCAACATATCTCGATATTTAAAAAAGAAAACATATCTAGATCAGGATAAGAGCTTTTGTGTTAGATTACTATGGAAAATGTACTTAAAAAGCATATTACGGAAACAGGAAACAAATGAATTGAAGATGAATACCAGTGTAAAGTTTATCTGAAGAAATAAATGAATTGGAGACGAATACAAGTGTAAAGTTTATCCAAATTCCGAAGCTTCAATTTAATAAAGGGCAATGGATATGTTTAAGAGATTTTTTTAGTACCGATAAATTAAATTTTTTTAACTGTTAAATTTACGTATTTTTTTATTAGCAAAAAAAAATAATATATTTTAGGATTTTTTTTGGCTGAATAATATATTTAAGGATTTGGTTTTCTTTCCGGGACATTTTATTGGTCACTGTTCTTGGACCACACATTGAAGATTTGGTGGCCAAGTTCAAAAAATAAATCTGAATACTTGGGAGCAAAGCAATAGTTCGATTCAAGCACTTGTCTATTAAAAAAATGGACTTTTGATTTCTATGAGAAACCCAATAGAATTGTGATCATATTAGTCTCATTTAGTTCGCCGATTCGAGTTTTTAATTTAAGTTGAGATGTGATTTTACATAAAAATTTTTAACTGTAACAAAAAAATTAAATATAAATATTTTTAAGAATTTTTAATTATAATAAAATTAAAATTAAAAACTCAAATTAGTGAAATAAATGATTATTTATCCTCAGGAGATAACATTCTAGTGAAATAAAAAGAGAGTTTCTCTAGGGCACCCCCATATTTGAACTACCGGTAGGACTCAAAATTTGTAACCGTTTGATTAGTTGGATTTGAATGAGATACAGGTAATGTTAATTGAAGTTTCTCTGTGCACCCCTATATTTTGAACTGCCGGTAGGACTCAAAATTTGTAACCGTTCAATTGAAATCATGTGGTTGAGTTTGAACAAGACATGTATTATTCATTGAAGTGTATGCGGAGGAATATCTGGAGTAAAAAGTGATGTGGAGTTTTTTTTTTTTTTGGTCTTATTTTGAAAAATTAAGAAATTATTGCTTTTGTTCTTCACTTCTTCGGTCTCTTCGCTTTCCTTGCTCTCTCCTTCTTTTTCCCTCTCTCTCTCCCAACTTTCTGGCGTCAGCAACCCTCCGATGAAAGCACTTGAACCACCTCCAGCATGTTCAATGGACACCAGATCTAGATGGTTTCCTATTTTCTTTTTTCTTTTTCAGGAAAAAGTGCTTCTTGGCTTGGGGTCTATGCCTTTGTTGGTCTTTTCAGATCTGAAATTTTTTCTTTTAAAACCCGTCCATGCGATATATCACTGGAGAGCAAAATTTTCTCCTTTGTTAGCCGTTTATTCTGTTGCAAAATTTCACGGGTTAATATTCAGAAAAGAGGCACAAAGGGAAAAAAATTAATAAAAAATAAAGATCAATGGACCATGAGCGTAAGCCCATTTCACGACTTGATCCATTATAAAAATAAATATATATATATATAATAATAGAAAAATTGAATAAATTTAAAATCAATATAATTAAAACCGAGTTTGAAAATGAAATTCCGGAAAAACTTCACTCTTTTTTTCTAAGCGACGATAATGAGTTTACAGCTGTCATTTGCAGGGAAGCAAATAAACCAAGGCAGGAGGAGGGAGAAAACAAGTAGAGAGAGAAGTGCAAAGAGAGATTCTCATACGGATGAGGAAAAGACGACAAAAACATTTTTAAAATAGTAGTGGGTCCCATAGAAACTTAAATCCATCCACGCTGGTTGAGGTGCCCCTAGACTCTTTTCAATTAAAAGTTCTCGTTAATTTTACTTATTCAAATTTTTAGTTTTAAATTTTTACAGTAAAAAGTTTTTAGAAAATATCACATTTAATTTTTTTTATTATAGTAAAAAGCTCTCAGAAAATATCACATCTCAATTTAAATTGAAAACTCGAATCCGCAAAGTGAACGAAGGCTTGTTAATTTCACAAATTTAAGTTTTTAATTTTAATTTTATTATAGTTAAAAGTTTTCATAAAAAGTCATATTTTTTTTTGTTACAATAAAAATTTGTCACATAAAATTACATCTTAACTCGAATTGAAAATTTAAATTCACGAATTGAACGATGCTAAATTCTATATCGTGAGTAAGTGTTCAACATAAAACTGTATACTGCACGTCCTTCATCCAATAAGACAATGGTCAACATTTTTTTTACGTGGCCTACGGGTAGTTCAGAACATAGAGGTGCACCAGAGAAACTCCTGACCGTAGTGATGGAAGTCCCTGCTTTGCAATGAGAACAACCCTGGTGGCGAACATGCTTTAGTGGTCGGGAAGCGCTTAGTTTTGGCGAAGTGTTGGTCAGAAGCTGTAAGATTTCAATTGTCTCATTTGGGAGCGTAGATCTCTAGCGGCTCTACAACCCTAGGGCCTTGTTCCTCTTGTCAAGGCAAATCTAGGATTTGTTATGTTCGTGGCTTTAGTCTCTGGTTTGGATGTGGCTCCTCGAGAGTTTGTGGTTTCGAGTGACGCATAAATTCTCTGGTGGGTTCGCGTTGGGGTTTTGGTTATAGAGGTGCGGCAATTCTCTAGGTTCCTGCATGTCGGGATAGGAGGCCGGCAGGGGTTGTGCATGGATCTACGTGGTGGCTTAGTAGGGTTTCATTGATGATGAATCCGGTTTCACACATATTTGCTCTACTTGGC